GGTTGAGCAACTTTATTAACTAACTTAAAAAAAAAAAAACAACTTGAAACTTAAAAGAACAAGATGCATTAGAACTTTCTTTATCTGATATCGTTATCTCCACTTAACCAAGCAATACTTGCTTTGAGATAATTCTCTCGAAGTGATGAATTATTTTTTGGGGGATCCAGTGTGTTTAGAGCATTAGCAACACCCACCTTTTTTCAAAAGTCCTTCAGGTCTTCCTACGGGAGCTTTTATAATAGCCAACTTTTCATTTTGTTCTTTTGTGATATTAAAAATCATAATTAAAGCTGAAAATCTAAAATTTATTAATCATGATTTTAATTTTATCACTAACAAAGTCATGTTTTATATTTTTGAAAAAAAAAAATATATATATATATATGTATAAGTATAATTGCAGTAAATGAAGGTACAAAATCTAACCGTTCTCAGCCAACTTAACCACATATCTACAGGCAATCAGGAATTGCTTCCCAATTGTTATTTTGACAGATAATTGTAGACAATTTTATGGTCAGTTTTTTGGGAACACTTCGAAAAAGAACAACGAAACAATTTTCATTTATTAAATAATTTAATCTCCTTTTAATCTTAAAAAATCAATGATGTTGCCAGCAACAAGCTTTCGTGTAAATGCAATTTTGCTGGCAAAGCGGAAATCTGACAGTTGATGGCAGGCAATAAATAAGCTTTGACATATAATATAATATATTGCTAACCATTGGCAATTGCCGGTCATGTAGCTCAGAACATCAGTGATTGCCTGTGAAGACATGTTCTAAAAACAAGCGAAATTCAGCATTTCCACGGCATCGTGAATTACATTGTTCGTCGTCTTAATTACGAATGTGAATTACCTCATTCACACGGCACGCAATTTAACAGTTTTTTGTTTCGTTTATTTGTTCCATTTGAAAATGCAGGCAAAAAGAACAATTTTAGTACAAGTTAACAAAATATTGAATTGAATTGGAAATGTAAATATAAATCTAAATTTTTATTAATTTGCAATTTTTTGTTCTTCAATATACAAATAGTGTTTGCTTTTATGATTTTCATGTATTTTGTTTTGATTTGTCAGCTGATTTCGATAAGAATTAGAGAAGACAACGATTTGGTCGAAAGTCGCATGGTAATTGAGAATGAATCGCCCAAATTTGTATGGCGAATTAAGTAATTGAGTGAGCGAAACACGTTATTGGGTTGTCATGTAAATGACGTATTCGCATTGGTTAGAATCGCAAATTACGAAGATTTATCGAAACGGAAGGCAGTTTACGAGTAGAATATTAAAACTGCCGAGCGAAGAAAATTTCTTTACGAGTTGAAGTGCCGAATTGGTCTGATTACTAGTATATTAATATTATTTAATATATTTTATATTCTATTATTTATATGAACAGCTTAAAATCAATTTGTGAACAACATAACCTCATTTATGAAAAACAATAAAATTACTGTACGATGTACATATTTCTATGAAATAAATTATATATACTTTTATTATAATTTAATAAATATGTAGTGTTGATATGCTAAAATTGATGATTACAAAAACTGCATACCAATAAACAAGTTTCAACACATACATATGTACGTAGATATAATTATAAATTTATGTTTGGTGTTAGTTCTTTATGAAAATAATTTTCAAGCTACTATAATTAAATATTTAATGTCATATATTTTATAGAGTTATCTATATGTATGTATATGTGTATATATTTTTGTTCTAAGAGCCAACAAGAAGATTTATATACTACATAGTATTGTATATATGTATGTATATAATACTAACGCCTAGTAAGTAAGTAAGGAAGTATTCGTATATATAAATTTTATATATTTTTGATTATTGTAATAGACGTTTAGTACCCGTAGTTAGAAAGTGTTGTAACAAATGTACGCTATTCATTTGACAGGTACGCATTTATATACCTGATTTGCCAAAAAAAAACAAGTCGAATTATTAAATACTGGTAAATACAGGCATTTTTTTTTTTACTTAACAAACACAAGAGAGTAAATTAAACGGATTTATGCTTTAAGTTTGTAGATTTTATAAATTTTGAAAATTTCGTAATTTTTTTTTTTTTTTTGGAAATTTATGTATTTATTTATTTATTATTAATATACTTTTTTTAATACATCTTGTTTTGCTTATATATATTTAAATTATATATTGAGTTACTACTTTACATACAAATTACGGTTCATAATAAGTTTTTATTATATCATACAATTTAAATATTTGCTAATTTTTGTTTGAGGTTATGTTTTATTAATTAATGAAATATTGTATATATTTGTGTAGTAGTAGTTAAACACATAAAACTGATAGACTTTTAATTAGTGTGTGTAATAGTTTGTATATTTGGCTGCTATTTGTATTGCTTACAATATAATATACATTTTTTATTTCATTATTTATTTATCTTTTTTTATTTTTAATTTTTATTTTTTGTTATTTATTTGTATATATTTTTTTAAATTAATATTTATGTGGAAACCAGTCGTTACGCACATCTGTATATATATATATATATATATATATCTATATATATATCTGTACGTAAATATTTTTTTATTGTTATTTCAAATATTTGTTGTATGTATGTATGTAGATAGTTACTAAGCGTTTAAAGTTTTTATTTAGTTTGCGGCGTGAATTTTTAAATATTTTCTATTAAGTTCTCAGAAGTAAATTGCGGTTTTCAAATCAGGTAACTCATTACTAAATCACTATATGTTTTTGTTTTTTTTTTTTTTGAACGGAAGAAGTTTAGAAGAGAGCTTTTGCTTAAAAAATTATTTCATATACATATTATATATATTATTTTTATTTTTAATTTTTTTTTAAATTAATTTTTACAGTATTCATATATTTGTTTGTTTATTTGTAAGTTGACTTAAATTTTACTTTCATATTTTTTTTCAATTTTCTTCCACCAGTCACTAGTTGCATTGCATTTAAGCTCAAACATGGTAATTCTACATATACATACATATATATGCATGTATATGTTTGTGTATGTCATTGGTATAACTGCGCATTTGCCATTTGCCATTTGCATTTGTATTGTTATATCCAAAGCGTTACATATATTTGCTTTTAGCTGCCGCCGTGATCAATGCATTTCATCCATTACCAACTTAAGCCATTATGTAGGTGTATGTGTACGTGGCAATATGCATATATGTACATCTACACTTACTTACATACATACATTGACGCACACTAAGTACACTAAGCGACAATTGAAAGTTTATGGTAACAGTTTACGCGCTAAAGTCTACGGAGAGTTTTGTCTTGTAAGGACAACAAACTTCACCTACAAACGTAGATCGCCTGGGAGATTTCCACCTCACCTACGTTAAGTATTCTCGTATATTATAATGTGAAAGAGGTTTTACCCAGTCGGAGAACGAAGTCGAATATTTTCGGCAAAGGATTTTCACTTTATCGAAGATGTGATTAGAGTAGATTGAGACTGAGCTTAACCCTGCCAAGGGAGAAACTTTGTTACAGTCTCTGAAGTTGAAGGAAATATGGGCTTCTCTTTCGAAAGATTACTCTTTTAAACTGTGCAGACAATCTAATGGTAAATTTCGCTAACGGAAAGCAAGTAATAGTTTGAACAGGTCAATAAGACTAATCTTTTTTGGGTGGATCCATACATTAGATAGTAGAGTTTTATATTTAGTAGTCTCCGCTGAAGCGATTTCGGCCGAGCTCCTCCTCCAATTCGTCGTTTTGCGTCTTGATGTTTTTCCAACAAATGGAGGGACCTACAGTTTATGTTAAACCGTCTCAGAACGGCTGATGGTCTTTTATTAAGACACCGTTTTTTATGTCACAAATACACTCGAAGAGGTTTATATTTCCTGCCGAGAGGCGACCGTAATTAGAAAACTTACCTAACACTGCGTGTTAGGGGTTCAAGAATTTACCCGCGGTAAGGTATGTCTGTCGTAAGAGGCGACTAAAGTCAAATAGTTCCCGCGACAGTCGGGTCTTTATACCGGAACGACTCTGATTTTTATCCGGCCAAAGACTGTCATTCTCGCAACATTCCTCAAAAAGTATTTTAGGAAATATTTTTGAGTTTGAAACTACAACAGCAACAACAGAAAAGTTAGTTTGACTTGCGTGTGAATAATGGGAGCTGCTGAAGTAACTAAGGTAGGTAACGCCGCTTGTGTCCTGCAATTAAAATGCAAAGTCCTCTCCCAATGTGCAAAGACTGAACTCTACAAGCCACGCTTCATTCCCGTCCATCTACGTATATGGGCTAGAGGTTTCGATGATAGTAGCATCCGATAAGTCGGCATAAGGAGCTTTTGTGAAAAAAGATTTAAAAATTTGCGGAAGATTTATGATCCTTTGCGCATTGGCAATGTCAAATATCTCGTTCTTGCCTATACGACACGTTCAATTGGAGTTTTATGACCGCTGAAGCGATTAACGGCAGATCTCTTCCTCAAATTCGTGTTGTTTTTATTACGCGTCAGATATACACACGGAGGTGTTGATGTTCCGATAGATGGCTCTGTGTGGAAAAATGACTTCATTAAAAGTGATTGAGAAATGAATTTCTCTCACAACTGTTTTTAAACGATAATTTATAGCACCGCATTAAACTCTCAATTTAGCAATATAAAAGAGAGCTTAGCAATCTAAAAGAGAATTTAGCAATCTAAAAGAGAGCTTAGCAATCTAAAAGAGAACTTAGCAATCTAAAAGAGAAAGCCCAGGGACTTTTTAGTAAAGAAAGAGAAGAAAACACATACATTTTTGTCGGCTTTTTGGAAGTGAGATATCTCTAATTCATTTCTTGCTCATTGCTTGGCCATAAAAATATCAAAAGATGTGGGTAGCGGAAGAATTAAAATTAAATTACAGATATTAATATTAATAAGCCAGAAACAAACAAAAAAAAAACAAAAACAAAAATTAATGTGAAAATATTTTACGTAACTGACCTGACCTGAAAAATAAATATCACTAACAGAGTTTCATTAGGTTTAAAATTTTCTGTTGATTGCACTCTGGGCGGGTATTCAAAAATCTAGCAACGAAAAAAATTGAAAAAAATGCCAAAAAAAAGAGCAGTGATGACACTCAGCTAAGTGGCTTCCGAATAGTAGACCAATTTTCGCAGGACAGCAGTTTTAAGTGAAGCTTCCACGGCAAAAATATTCCTGAAGTGATATTAAGTTCGAAGAATATATATATTTTACATTAAAAAAAAAAAAATTGTTAAGATTCTTATTTCACATAATTAAAAGTTGAAATTTTTTATTTTATTATTTCCGAATGTTTAATAACATTTTGCTCAGAAATTTTTGTCACCGTTTTATTTTTTACAAACATATACTTTCAGTTGTCGTCTGGTGTACTTGTTGTAAATGAAATAAGTAAGTATTTACTCATATTTCTTTGCATGCTTACAGTTGCATTTTCTAGTTCACCACTGACTGTTGCCAACTATTCACACACTGACACATACACACACACCTAGCACAGACTCGTATAACAGCATATTGACTTTAGGATATTGTGCATGAATTACGTTTGCTACCCAAACTCCGTTCCTGTATCCTTTGTAAATGTTGTATTTGTGCGGCTGTTGGTGCATGCGATGGCAATGTGGAACCATGTGAACTGGCCGCTGCCGAGGTGTTGGCCGCATGTGAGGGATGATGATGGTGTGTGGGTGTGCCCGGTCCATTGTTGCCCACTTGTTGGGGTAACGATTGTCGTCGACGTCGCAATGCTGGACTTAGATTGTACGTGATTTTCGCTTGTGATAGGAGCTCTTTGAAGACCTGCATATGTAGTTGTTGGTGTGAAATAAAATATTAGAAAATAAATGGAAAAATTTAATTTTGACATTTGTTTAAAAATTTTCCCTTACCTGTGTTATATTTTCATTTTTCGCCGCCGAAGCTTCGACAAAACCGTTCTCCCAGTCTACGGTGACCACAGACTCGGTAGTGGCGTATTCAACCTGAAATGCATTGAGAAGGGGTGAGTAATTTTTTAGTTTGGGAATTTCAAACAAAATTAGTTAAAATTCATCTGTGTTAAGTAAATAAATATTTTGTTTTTAAAATCCAAAAAGAAGTAGATATTTATATAATTGAAATGTACATATATTGAGAAACGTTAACGAAGTTTTGCTTTAAATCGCTCGTTGACATAATGATGTGATAATGATAATGGATAAATGGCGAGAGAACAATGAAATTGAGCCGAAGCTTCAAAGCGATGCTGCGAACTTATTTCCGAATAAATATCAGCGAGTGCTCGAAAGCTTCTTCCCGATCCGTTTCCACAGTCAGTAAGGGTTCTACTTGAGTTAAACGTGCTTGTTAGGATCCAGATCAGACCAATATATTTTTTAGAGTTTTTTGCTTGAAACAGTGGCAGTCGCTATTAAGCTTACAATGTTATGGCCTTTGAGTGTATTTCTGATATCCAAAAGGACTGCGCCTCATAAAAATCCAAGTAACAACCAAGTAGATTCTTCGCCTTTTGCTCAAGGAATTTACATTTGAAAAACTAGATGGAATGAAACTACAACTTGTCGCAAAATCCAGGCACACTAGGCCGAAATGGGATAAGAAGAGATCACGAGATATACACTGCTTAAAAAGAGAGGATATGCCCAAAGTAATAGGATATCCTCATCATGTTAACCTGACAACTGAGCCCGTTTGAGGAAGAAGAAGCGACTTCTGTTCGACTTCTACTCCTGCTCTCTGAGAGCACTCATTAACAATTCAACTTAAGATACCGTATTAAGATACCTCAAGCTCCCTACGTATAGGCGGCAGGGAATGCAATGAATTTGACAAGGTCGAATGAAACGCTGGGACGATGAGGATTGTCGTACTCGTAAGGTTGCGATTTGCCTCTAACATGTCACGTAGGAGAAATGTCCAGAGTTGTGACGCAAGCGAGATGCATTTGCACACAGAAAAAGTTGAGGAAATGAATGGGTATGGAGAGCTTGAAAAGCCGCCAGACAGGGGTAAAGCTTAAAAATTATATGAAAGAATGCGACGACAAACTGAAGGCTTCAACAGCGGTGCATATTCATTTAGGTACGCAGAGGTATTGAAAATGTGACGGCAGTCAGTATTTCCGTAAAACGAAAATTTCGCATTGAAACGATAAATTCTATGACATATCCGGCACATTGACGGCTTAGTTCAGCGAATTAAGAGACAGAGACTATGCGGGTCGGTTGATGAATACACTCCAGATTTGAAAGTATTCGTTATTGTACCCGTCGGCGAAGGCAGATGAATAATTAGGGAGAGAAGGACTAGGCTTCTATTCAAGCCTACCGCATTAGTATAAGTCTTCCGATGATGAAATGTCAAAGAATAATGAACAAAAATACTATGACGGCTTGAAACTACTTACGCGAGGTCTGTTAAACAAGGCCATTGAAAAAAGGACACTACTCGGATCACCCGTTCTATATAAGCTTTCGACTGATCCTTATCTAACTGATTGAACTGAGAGGGAAAGAAAGGAGCAAACAAGTTTATTGCTTGAACAAATCCCTTTAAGCAATTATGCCGGATTTTATATTTTATATTACCTGGTAAAAAGGAAAAGCAATAAACTAAAATTTAAGCCCAAAAATACAAATGATTTCAAGTTAAATCCCAACAACAAATCGCCTCAACTGTGTCAAGTGGCTTGCCAGTGAGACGAATCAATAAACAAAGTGAAAGAAATCCACAAGAGCCCATTACGGCAATGAATGAACTAAATCTTGCAATAATTGAAGCGACAAAATTGTATTAAATCAAAATTCCTACACACTTACACATATACTCGTACGTACATATCTATGTACAACTTAAGTTGTCTGATAAATCGTCGGGGTTACTAAGAAATGATGCGTACGACATGGTCAAGTAAAAAAAGAAAATGATACAATAAAAAAATAAAACAAAAAACAACAATATTTGGGTGGAGAGCGGCAATAAAGCACAAAATAAATCTTTATGATTATAAACGAATATATATGTACATATGTATGTACCCTGCAGGGAAGAGGTAAAATCAGTATGCGAAAATTCTAGTTCAATTCTAGTATTTTGAAAACGAAATCATACGAGTCTTTTGTAAAACAGAATTAAGGGGTTAAGGTTTGGTCTTGAAGGCCAAAAAAAAGCTTATTTTCTCTATTTTTTTTTAAAAGATACAAAATATGTGGACAACATTTGATGAAAATTTGAATGAAAAATAGTATAAACTAAGGCGTTGGCAGTGTCGTGAAGTAGACCATCCACAAGAAAGTGCCTTCGCGGTAGTCATATAACTTTTTCAATTTTTTATCTGAAATCAAAAATCAAATTTTTTTTCTTAAAGTAGATGAATTTTCCTTTTCCTTGAACGAAGAGAAATTAAAAAAAATTTAAAATTTAATTTGTTTAGCGTTTTTTACAAAAAATTTAATTTTTTGCATAAAATTTTGGCTTGTAAAATGTGTTGAAGTCAAAGATAAAATAAATTCTGCGTTCATTGACTACAGAAAAATGTTTAAAAGAAGTGTGGAAAATTTGAACTCGATCACTTCAATAGTCTTTGAAAACGTTTGACTATCGATTTCGATTAGGTGGATTTAAGAAAAACGCGTTTAAAGTGTCGCCATCGGTCAAGCCATGACAAAGATGGCGGGTTATGAAATTCACTAATTTCTACAGTTTCATCTCGATCGTCTTGTAACTTGAGGAAAATATTCCTGTCACTTCGCACTTTTATACAAAAGAATTATAAAAAAAATGAATTTTTTGAAGTTTCAAGACCTATGTAGCCCCTTAAGGACAAAAATATACTAGTTTGGCATAGACTAAAATTGTACTAGTATTTTCTGGTAAAATCTGGACTAGTTTTCAAAAATTTTAGTATATATACTAGTATTTTACCGTCAAATGGATACCAGTTTGTCGTTTTGCGAAAAAATCAGGACTCATAAGTAAGCTCCGAACTCACATTATTAGATTTTCCACGACATCAACAACACGCATATAATGTTGTGGCTCTTATTCAAATACTCATATCAATATCTAATTTTCTTCATGAATAGAAATCGTCTACCAAAATTGCAGTGCGTTTTCTCAAATCTACCTGAAGGCACTCAAAATTTTTAATTTAAAACCGGTTCAGTCGTTTGGAATGTCTGAAGTGAACTAGTTCCCAACTGATATGGAACAACCAGTATTTCAGCTGGTATATATAAATTGGTATTAAACTAGTAGAAAGCTGATGCATAGTCGGACAGTTGACAGTTCGTCGCACATCGTCATGTTAGAAGTACCAGATGCTTTCATGAAAACAGATGGAGGATGAATTAGTTGGTGTAAACATGTAAACGAGTTGAATTCTTGTTGACAACTAATATTTTTCCCTGCAGGGTAGTTACATCAGGGGCGTACGAATAAGGTGACGAAATACGCATCAAACAGCAAAAGCAGCCAACTTCCGTAATTCGTGAAGCAACAGTGGCAGAAATTATCAGTATTTACCAGCAGCCAAATATTTATAGCTCCCTTCAAGCCTAAAATGTATGAGATTGGGGGGCGGGCGTTGTGTGAGTGGCAATGTGACCAGCTTGACCTGGTGATAAAATTACCAGAAAACTTATACCTTTTTCTCTTTCTTTTGTGTATGTGTAAGCATATGTACGAGACTAAGCATACATACATATATATTAATCTATGTGAGAGTATATGCTTAAATAATATTGCTTGCATTGCAAAAAAAGGACGAACGGCATTTTCTTCAGCTACAGCCTGGCAGAAACAAAGAAAGAAATCCTTACCCTTACTTATATTTATCTTATTTTATTCTTCTGTATGAAATAATAGCGAAAGTTTGTATATATGAACTCATGTATCGTAGCCTCTTCGTGGCCATAGAAGCGACAGTGACAAGAAGACGTGTAAAAATGCTTACACGTCCATTTCTTTGTATTCGCTTTAAGATTGATAAACTTATATTAGGGGTGTTCTATTTTGTGTGAAACTTGTGCTTATAGATTTTTAATTGATGTCTTTTTGAGTAACTCCATAACACATCTTGTCGTCCTTTCTCAGAGCATGAATGGTATTTTTCTAACACGAGTAAGTGAGCGTGCTACAAGACTCACTGTAAATCTGAAAAAGCTTGGAGTTCTGTCTCTTCAAAAATAAAATTTTTTTTTTCACAAGTTAATGAATCATCCATGAGGGGAACATCATAATAAAAGGTGCACTCCAAAGTAAACAGGATTTAAAAAAAAAGACAGAACAAACGGTTTAATCGGCAAAATTAATTAATTTTATTCAAAATAGTCTTCTTCTGCTTTAGTACAGCTTTTGCAAGGTCCAAAAGCATGTCGAACGAGTTAAAAAGCTCGTTGTCCGGTATGGCCGCCAGTATGCTGGTGTTGGCCTTTTGAATGGCCTCCACGTTTACATATAGCTTTCCTCTCATAGCCAAATGCATTTTCCCGAAAAGGTAGAAGCCGTACGGTGTCATATCAGGTGAGTATGGAAAGTGGTTGATTGTTGAAATATCGATCGATGAGACGGCGCATTATCGTGCAACAAACGCCAACTTTCATCTTCGTGTTTTGTTCGGAACAAATTCTTTATGGGCAATACCTTTAGAATCATAAAAACAAATCAGCATTGCCTTCATTTTTGACTTCTAAAGACGCGGTTTTATTTGGTTTCGGCTCGTCCGGCGCCTTCCATGCAGCACTCTGTCGTTTCGTTTCGGGATCATGTTGAAAACACCACGTTTCGTCACCAGTCACAATATCATAAAGGTAGTTTGGGTCTTTTTTGCCTCTTTAATTATGTCCTTCGAATGTTGAATTCTGACCAATTTTTGGCCGTCTGCTCATTTTCGCACCGATGAAAAGAACATACTGACACTTAAAACGTAATAACTTCACTTCCAATGAATGAAATGTCATGAAATTTTTACTGGAAGTCGATA